AGGGCGTGGCGCAGGGCGGCGACACGTTGACCCCCAGCGCGCCACAGCGACACAGCGCGCAGCAGTGCGCCGCACCATGCAGACACTAACGCAGTCCCGTTGGAATGAAATCAGAACACAGCCGCGGGCCGGCGACGGTATCGAGCCTGGCGCCCTGTAGGGGCTACAGTGTAGGGGCCCTGCAGTCGCCCTGCAGTCGCCCGGAGCGGCCCCGCCCCGCCCCGGGGCCCAGCCGCCTTGTAGGGCCGGCCACGCATGCGTGGGGGCGTGGCGGCCGAGCCTCGGGTCTACTCGGGCCGAGCCAGCCCAACAGTCTCAGTGTCCGGTTTCCGGGACGCAGCGGACCCGACCCCGCAGGGCACCGCAGGGGCTCCAGTACTGACGTCGCTCAGCTGTGCCGGCGTGCCTGTGCAGCCGCCCCCCTGTCCCCCTCGCCACTCCGGCCAGTGACCATTGTCTCGGGTCATTCCATATGCACACTGCGCGGCCCGGGCTGCGCCATGGCTGCGCCCGCTCGCCCGCCCGTTCGTTCCGGCCGGCCAGCTTAGTTCCGGGCAAGGCCGCGTGGAGGGTTTGGCCCCAAGGCCGACGCGGTGCTCGAAGGCTTGGCGTGCGGCACTGCTGCGAGTCCTTCAGGCCCTGGAAGGACCTCGGCCCTGCCGGTCTGCCACACATCAACCCGATTGGCGTGAGCGCGCTGCCGCCGCGCGCTGCGTGCTGGGATTGGAGCCCCCCGTGCCGCGCCTGCCGCGCCTGCCGCGCGGCCCCGTCGGGATGGTCATGAATATTCTATGCAGCCCTGGGCATCACACAGCCTGTCCTGCCGCGCCCACCAGACGGTATTGGACGGTGAGCCACGCGGAGCCACGCAAGTGAAGCCAAGCCAAGCCGCGAGCCGCAGCAGTCGCAGTCAGCCACGGCGATCGCGGCCGACGTCCAGCCGTCCAGCCCCGAGGCGGCAGGCGGCCATCTGGAGCGCCGGGGCCGAGGACGAGGACGCACAGGCAGTCGCGGAGTTACAAATAGTCCGCTGCGCCGCGAAAGCCCACTGCAAAACACGGAAAAACGCTTCCTGCTTCCACCTGGCTCGGGTCGAGACAGGAAAAGGCAGCAAGCCGCACTGGGACGTCGACGTGGGCCAGACCCGCCCCGCCGCCGCCTCCCGCCGGGCCCCGCCTTGCGCGCACATGTGCTCTGCACGTGAGGCCCAGCGGGGCCCAGCGGGGCCCAGCCCCCGGGGCATCTGCCGTGCTTCCAAGCATGCTTCCAAGCCAGGTCCCAGATTTAGAAAAGCCACACCTACGCGCCGAGGCTGGCCAAACGATACTGCAGCGCAGCGAGCCGCGGCCATGGACTCGGAGGTTCGAACGCCTCGGCTTGAACGGGTGGCGGCCTTATTGAGACTGCGGGGCGCTCGCCGCTCACTGCGGCTCTCTGGGCGCGGCTGAGCGGCGGCTCTGTTTCCAGCTCGCGGCACGTACAGCTGCAGTGCTGCAGCAAGGCGCAGGCCGCGGCCGCAGGCGGGGCCGGGGCCGGGGGCGGCCGTAAGTCGCGTAAGTCGCGGATCGTCCCGCGTCACGGCGCTGCCGGCGTTATCCGACACTACAAGGGCAGGGAACTGAGCCCCGCAGCCCCGCACTGCGAGTCGTTCTGGGGGAAAGAAGGACTGACGGCGAGACAAGCCACACGCGGACAGCGTTCCGGGCCCAGCAGGCACGCACCGGCGCTGCATCTGAGTGCATCGCGGGTGGACGACAGTGAAAACCAAAAACTCGGTCGGCGGCGGCCGCGTTCGAAGCCAGGGCCCAGGGCCGCGCGGGGCGCGGCGCGGCGCTCCAAAATGACGACACTTTGTCCGAGCCGTAATGAGATATCGTGAGAAAAGGCCTCGCCGCGCCCTGGGCCCCAGGCAGCCCCCGGCCGGCGGCCCAAGCGGGCCCAAGGCAGCCCAAGGCCGACGGCCGGGCCGCGAGATGATGATCACGTTATCACGAGAGTACACCGCCAGGCCGCCGGGCCAGCGCAGCCCGCAGCCCGGCGCCGCGCTCACTTCATCACGCCGAAGCAGACTCGCGGACCGCGAGCAACCGCGAGGCGAACACCCCGCCTGCCCCGCGCGCCCCGCGTTCTGCGCGGCCCGAACAATGACCGCTTCTTCTTCTGCTCCGGCCCGGTCCAGCCTGGTCCAGGTGGCGCCACCGCCGCACTCGCCGCGAGGAGCCCCCGCGCCCCCGCCCAGCGCGATAACGCGGCGGCAACGCGGCCGGGTCAGCGCGGCCGCCACTATCAAGCCGCTGCACCGCGGCAGCACCGCCAGCAACAACAACATTGTCAAGACCTCGAAGCGGGGCATGAAGACGCTGGCCGCGGCGGTGAAATGGCCAGAGACAGGGCGGCAATCAGCGGGCCAGGTCGGGTCATCCTGGCGGGACGCTCGTCCGTCGTCCGCCACTGGCTGCTCACTGCACTGTCATTAGCCGAACCACACACGATCAGCTGAACCCACTTTGCCCCCAAAAACTTAATCAAAAAGGCAAATGCCTGCCGAAACGACCTCCTTGGCTGCTGGCTGTCGCTTCGCACTCCGCGCCGCTCTGCCGCTCTGCACACTGTCATTAGCGCCTTGCCCGTCGGCCTTCCCGCCCCGCGGATTCATTCGCCGTGAATGGGGCTGCTGGGGCTGCGCGGCTGCGCCGGGTGCCGGTCCCGCCGGAGTGCAAACAAGCCATTGTACGCAGGTAGTGTCCACAGAGGGCGCCTGCCGCCGCAATCGCCACTCCCAGGGTGACCTAAACGCAGCCAGCTGCGCGCAGAAGGTGTGAAAAAGGGCGCGGGGCTCGGTGCTCGAACCCGGGCCGGGCAGGGCCGGCAGGGCCAGGTCGCCGCCGCGGTGGGCGTGTTTTCGTTGGCGCCGTCGTACAGTCTGACGCACTGGACGAAGCCTCGAATCGGATCGAGATCTCGCCGACGCTCCGACAGGCGCTTATTAAGATGGGAGGCACGCCAAGACGTCCTTGTTGGCGGCCCGAGCTCGGGCCCGAGGGCCTGCGCCGTTCTGGGCCTCCGTGGGCCTCGGCCGCCGAGTGGCGCGTCTCTTCTGCTTGACAATGACGGTCGCCATCGGGGCCTCGGGGCGGACGCGCTATCGGGTCCCTGTCGTGTCACCAAAGGGTTGGCGTGGCCTCCCGTGGCCAGTGTGCCGATAAATTAGAGTCGTGTCATGTGGCGGATTCGCGCCTGCACTGTACAACGCCGAAGACGCGGGTCGAATTACTCTGTGACCCCTTGACGACGTGCGCACTGCTCTCTCGATGATCGTAAAGACTTTCCACACGCTTGAAACCTTACGAAGTATTTTGAGCACTTGTTAGGTATACTTGGTGTACATTAAGAAGAATTTTCTTCTTTCTGCTCATTGCTTTGTGATGATAAGCTCTTTTCTTTGCAAGGCTTGGCATAGTTCGCAAGGTCGAGAGTGCAACAATGCGAAAGCCGATCGCGTTGGACTTGAAATGTTTGTCGGGGGGCAGATGCAGCAGGTGCAACGGGATCGAGGCGGCGACATCGCAAAACAAACACGAGAAAAGGAGAAAGAAATAAGAAATCTCAGACTGACCGGCCGGCCGGCTGAGGAGGCTGAGGCCGGTCGGGTACACACACAGTCACACACCAGCCAAGAGCGCTTGGCTCGGCTCGGCACGGCGCGGCTGCGCTCGGCTCGACTCGGCTCGGCTCGGCTCGCTCGGCCCTTGTACCGGTTTGGCTGAGGGGCCGACAGCCTCCGAGTGTGCGTGTGTGGGTACGTGTCGGTGTGTGTTGCTGTGTGGGCAGCCCATGGCAGCCCATGGCAGCCCATGGTCCCACACGTACCGCTCAAGCTGGACCAAGCCGGCGCTGCTCACTGGCTGTCCTGGCCAGGGCTTCCAGGGCCGCGAGCTCGCTGTGACGCCGCCGCCGTGACGTCGCTGCACTGGTGACAGCTCCGCGGGCTTTGCACCATGTGTACAGTGGCGCGCGTTTTCAATCGTCGCTCAGATCCTCCGGCCGCCCACGTCGCCGCGGCATCGCGCAGCATCGCGCACGGCAGCACCGCGGCAGCAACAAGATTTCCTCTGCATCTTCCAGACGTGACGTGGCCGCCGCCGCTCCCCCCGGCCTGGCGCGTGTGGGGAGGTTATTTTGGACCCCGCGCGCTGTCAGCGAGCCCCGAGCCCAGAGCCCCAAGCCCACGAAACACATAAACCGCCGCTACGCCGCCACTGGCGGCCGAGGCGAACTTGGCTGCAGAGAATTCGGTGGCGGGCTGGCGAGCTGGCAGGCTCCGGGAGGTAACTTTCCGCGGCGCACTTGCGTACTTGCTGCACTCGGCCTCCGCATCGTCGCCGCTGGTCCATTGCAGTCCATTGCCGCACAGCGCGCGGCGCAGCCACGCATCTCGGACGCCGCGACGCCGCGACGCACGTGTCGGGGAATGTCGCAGCGCTGAGTTGTGCGCCGCCGGCCCCGCCATGGAGGCCCCGCCGTGGAGGCCCCGCCATGCCCAAAGCGAGAAAAGGCGACTCTTTTTCTTGTTGGCTCTAATTCATATGGGTTAGGGCCGTCGCCGTCGTGCCGTCGTCGTGCCGGGAGGAGCGGCAGGGCATTCCTCGGTACACTGTTCACGTCACCGTCGTCACCGTCGCGACGCGGCTCAAGTCCTTGGCGTCCTCAACTGTCCAGGTATTCACATTCACACACACATGCATACACAGTCCGACTTTTAACAACACAGGTTTATTTTAGAGGGCCTTGCAATGATCGGCGCACTTGTCCTCTTCTCCATTTATCTTCTCCGTGGCAGATTTCGACGTGTCATTCAACTTGTACACACCACAACTCTTCATTTACTTCCTTTCTTTTTCGACGAGCCGCCGCGCCGCGCCGCGCCCGGCGGACATTCCCTCGCGTCGTCTGCTGCCAGAATGAAAGCGGTGGAGGGGGGAGCATGGGAGTCAACTCACCTTCATCTATGAGCCGTTCGACGTGAATGAAGACGTTCGGGAAGGCGGCGAGCTGTTTCCTGTCTTTGAGCAGTTGCGCCAAATAGTCGGCTATACTCTGCATGGTCGGATGACCCTGCTGGTCACTCATGGTGGCGATCTGCAGAGTTCCAAGCGGGCAGAGTCTAGTCCAGGCACCCCGTGGCGCGTCGACGCGTCACTGCAAGTCCCTGCAAGTCGCTGCACACGGCACTGCACTTCACTGCACACACTGCGAGACGAGTGCCCGTTGAACGCTAGCCAAAGTCAGGGCGGCGACTAACGACTAACGCGAGCTCAGCGAACGCAGACGGCGCATCGGGCGAGACCGGTCGGCGCTACTGAGCCTGAGTCTGAGTCTGGCTCAAGTCGCCAGAGCGCAGAGCACACTGGTTGGTCCTCTCCTCGTGGGCCGTGGGCGAGCCGGGCGCGGCGCGGCAGGGGGCAGAGAGGGGGCGGTAGGGGCAGGCGGGGCGCGCGGAGGGGGAATGCCTGGGCTGAGGAGGCGGCGGAGGGGAGGAGGCGGGCTGCGCAACCGCTGCAGGTCGGGCGTGGCGGAGCGCGGAGCGGTGCGGGCGGAGCGAGGGGAAAGGGGGCAAGTCCGAGAGCGGAGTAGACGGGGTGAGGGGCGGGTGGAGTCAGACACGACGAGGACGAGGGGGCGGGGGGCGGCGCGGGGGGCAGGACAGGCCCCCGTCCTGCCCGTCCTGCCATATAGGGCGCGCGTCGCCCGCCAGCGCCGCCCAAATCGCCTTTCCCCGATTCTCCTGGACTCCCTGGACGCCCTCCTTGAGGTGCATGGACTGCATTGACTGCAGTTGGCGCACCCCGCCCCGGCCGCCCTCTCAGCCTCTGCGCGACATCCCTGGCAGCGGACCGAGGCCGCGGCCGAGCCCCCCTCGCCGGCCGAACCGCGAGCGCCGCCGGCCCGTCACCCGGCACCCCCGGTCGCTGTGCGCGCGCCACCAAAAGAGACAAAATCTTTCCCAGTGACTCAGGCGACAGTTTTCGCACGCCGCAAGCCGTAGGCGCAGACGCAGTGGCCCTTGCGGCGGCGATGGGCGCCTGGGCGCGGTTTGGAGACGCATCTGTTTCCCTCATTTACTGGCTGGCGGTGGCGGGGCGCGGCGCGGCGCGCACGGCCGCACAGCGCACGGCCCCAGCATCATCATTTCTGGAGTGTCTGTCTGGCTACAGCATGCCTGCCTGGAAGGCCTGGAAGGCCTGGAAGGCGCGGCGGGGCGCGGCGAGGGGCGCGGCTGGCGGGGCCGAACGGAACGGCCGAACGGCCGAACACGGCGTACCTCCGTCCTGCTCCTCGGCGACGCCGTTCGCTTCGACTCGACTCCGCGCTCGGCGCTCGGCTCGGCGCCGTTCGGCCCGAGTCTTTGGACCGGGCAGCTGGCTCGGCTCGGCTCACGCCCCGGCTCGGGTCGGCTCGGCTCGGCCGCTGCCCGCACGACGGCGCGGCTGCGCGGCTCGTCTCGGCGGGTACGTAGGTGGCGTTGGCGTCGCCGTCACACGGGTAGGCCGCACCGCTGAGCTACGCCGTGGCTACGCCCCTGCCGCCTTAAAGTGCTCAAAGCTGAACCGCTGCCCGGTGGGGCGGGGCGGGGAGGGGGCACGCAAAGCGCGCGGCTTTACTCCCGCGATTCAAAATGCACATTACGGGGGGAATGAGGGAACACGCACATGATGCGGACGTGCGGGGGCAGCATGCTGCAGCAGCAGCGGCCGCGGCACCGCGGCGCCAACCACGACCACGACCGCGACGGCACGCACGGCACAGCATCTGGGCGTTCTTTACGATTGGGATGACACTGTAATTGAATATGAATGATTCTCCATCGCGTCCCCCGCGTCCCTCGCGATGCCTATCTGCCGCACATACCGGCGTGGACCCGCAGGCTGCAGGCTGCCGCAGTTCATGCCCCTCCCCGCCCTCGCCCTGCCTCCCTCGCTCCCGGCTCGCATGCATGTCCCGATGCATGTACCGTAGCCCGTAGGGGAAACGCGTTATAAAAATAAAAAGGTCCGAGAGACTTACGCGCACCGCCGCGCGTATTGCAGCTTACTGCAACTTAACTACAGCCAGCCCGGTTCAGGTCCCAATTAAAATTGCGGCGACATCGGCGGCGTGCCGGACTGCGCGCTCAAGACGCCGAACCACCGTCGCGGAGTCAGACCAGTGGCGGTTCTAAGGTTTCGGTTTGGGGAGGGAGGGAGATTGTGAGGAGTTTACCTTCCTTCGAGGGTATGTGTTGTGGGTTACCCCACCTGCCCACCAACCAGCAGGCTTTCTGGAGATGCTATTTTTAAGGGATTGGTGAAAATTGTCCTCAGTGCCACACAGCAGAATAAAAGACGGCGTGAGTCTTTGAACACTCGTGAAAGTCCGTGAAAACCTGTAACCAACTCCACTCCACCCATTTCCCCACCAATTTTTCTTTGGTCGCTTGCATTTTTGTTTTTTGCCGACGCCACCCCGCGCCCGCGCTACACACGTCACCCCGTCGCACCCCCTCTCCGCACGGGCAATGCACGGACGGGGGCCGGGACGGCGAGGGCATCCGGCCAGGGCCCGCCACCAGGTCCTCGGCGTCGTCCTCGGCGGTTAGGGACGGCCCCGCCTCGGTGTCCTCCGAGGTGTTTACGTTTCGTTTCATTTGTACCGAGTGCACGGCGGTGCGCGGTGCGCGACGACGCGGCGGTGCGAAGACCGTCGTCGGCCCGTCGGCCCGTCGTCCCGTCCACGAGGTGCGGCCCGGAGGCCGGCGGCGGAGCGGACGGAGCGGACGCACTCACACCTACGCACTTTCTCTCGATGTGGCCGTGGCCGGGCCGAGCGCCGCGCCGCGCCCGCCGCGCTATGTGCCCCGCCCTGCTCTGTTCGGGGGGCGCGGTGGAAGGGGGGAGGGGGCATCTTCCCACACTGTTTCTGTCCAGGCCAGCAGCTCCAGCGATTCCATTCAGCCTCCCAGCGACACGACGGCGGTGAATCCAAACACACCGCGTCCAAAATAAACAATCTGCAAAAAGTTTATTGCAGCCCAACGGTGGGTCGTCTTTACTATTACTCGTACAAACGCAATCATCTTCGTCTACTGGCCACCATTCCGAAAGTTTGTGACGAGCGCCTGCTAAAGCAATCGGTTCGGTTGTGCTTCGTGCACCGACAGACGAATCTTTCGTTCTGGGGCGTACAATCATCTCACGACAGACAATGTGTACTTCTGCTTGAACGCTCTAGTTTTACCGGCGTGCGAAGGAATATTAAATTACACTAAACTATGCCTTTTAAATGGGTACTGCGTTGACGTCAGTACGAGCGAGGTGGCACGGTCCAGCAGCCGATCAAAACTACTCAGATTGTGACGCTAAAGCTAAAGCAGCCATCACGCTATCCGCGGGCACGCGGCGACTGGTCACGCGAGTCGTCGCTCGGTCCGCCAGTCTCTAGTTCGGCACTCTCATTTTGGTGACGCACGAGAAGGCCGAATGATATGGTTTCGGACGGATGCGCATCTCTGGAACTGCATTCGAAGAGGAGAATCGCGTTGGGAAGCACAGTAAGTACTCACGGGTACGTAGTCCCGACGAGACCTGCTGAGCGCCCCTATGGACGGCGCGGCGAGGGAGCGCCGCGCGCTGGCGGAGTGCGTTGGGTTGCCTACCCGCCGGGCGGCCGCGCTCGGCCCGGCTCCTTGACTTGGCCGCCGCAGCGTCGCGGCGACGCACGGTGCACGGCGACGCTGCAGCCCTTTAGCGTCGTCCTTTATCGGCCGTGCGCATCGGGCTGAGGGCGGAGCAGGCGGAGCAGGCGGAGGCAGCAGGAAGCTCTGCGGCACCGGGGCGGGGCACTGCGGGGGGCGGCGGTGCAGTGGGGCGTGGCGGCGTGGCGGCGTGGCGGGCGGGGCGGGGCGCCGCGCCTAAGAATAGCGGACGAACCCCGGGCTAGAGGGAGTGTTTGCGATCAACGAAAACACCTCTCCTCTCCCAGGCCGACGCGGCCGACGTTCGGCGGGCAGACAGGAAATGTGGAAAAGTGCGGCCGCGATCCGCTGGGCCGACAAGAAGAGCGACGTCGTCGTGCTGCCCCCGGGAAGCGGGTCAAGCAGGTCGTCGGCGCCGTGGGGACCGCCGCCTGCACGGCCGGGCCGGGGCCGGGCCGGGGCGCAGCAGGTTCGCGGCCAGCGTCTCGCCTCCTCGTCCTGCTCGTCCTGCTCGCCCTCCTAGCCCTGCTCGTGCTCGCGGTGGTCGCGCCGGCCGGCAGGTACGGCTCACGCGGCGGTATAAATTGCGGGAAGGCACAAAAATAAAATACGCGGCGTGTTTTCATGTGACACTTGTTTCGGGAACGGAGCCAGCCCGTTTCAGAGACCGTGAATTACGTACCTCTGAATATACCTGGGAGGGTGGACGCCGGCGGAGGGAGGAGTGGGATTCGCGTGGTTTCCCATCACAGTCCCATCTTCCACCCCCTACCCTCTTTCTCTTTTCGTCTCTCGTTCGGCGGGGATCTAATAAGTGACAGGCTCACTGGCAAAACCGATCAACAAGACTATTGTTCGATTCCGCAACCGATTTGTGACCGACCCTCGGCTTGGGGAGGCGTGGGGTGCTATGGTCCTGGTTGTTGGTTGACGGCACGAGTGGGTGCTGCCGGCCGGTTGCATGCGGCACATCAAGCAGCCAGCACGAACTGATCCCGGCTGATCCCTCAAACGGCGGCCGGCTCGGCGTGCCTTTGAACGCGGGCGTCGTTCTAGTTCACTGAAAGACGTCCCCGTCTCCCTCCTCTCCTCCGGCCGCGGGGCACGGTGCGGCGGCGCGACACTTCTTGGCCGGCGGCACGGCAGGGAGGCAGGGACAGCCCCGACAGCTCCCCTCTGCGGCGCACTGCGGCGTCGAAGGACGAGGCGACGGCGGTGGAAGCGCGAAGCAGGCGAAGCGCAAGGGGAAGCTTTCTTTCCAAAAATAAGCCGAAACGCACCGAGACGGCCACGGCGCCACTGCCCGGCTTAGCAGGGAGTCTCGCGGTCCACGGTCCGTTGGCCGCTTCCAATTCAAATGGCTGCTTGGCTTTGGCGGCCCTCCGCGCCCCTCCCTTCT